CGGCTTGTGTACTGCATCATCACTGTGTCTGTCACGCGACTCTGTTCCCCTTTCGGGCTCTGTCTTTACATTTATTTTGAAAGCTGAAGCTCGCGATTATGGTAATGGGCGTTACATTTCCTACGAGTGCTTGCAGTGTTCGGCCAATCACAATGCACTTGGTCAGCTGGCCAATCAGAGCAGACTGCGCTTGTCGGAAGGAGGGACTTTGTAGAAAACGAAGCGTTTGAGAGAGGCGGGGCATAGAGGACCTACAATAATGTACAGTATTTGAAAAAGAATGTGTTTTTTGAACATTAAAGCATGTCAACATATTCTGTTACACCAAATACACAAAATAATGATCTTTAAAAAAAGCATCATATGACCCCTTTAAGACACATCCTGAGCTAGCAATCACAATCTTCCACTGCTCTCAGCCTCACAGACAGGGAGTGACATTCCCATTTATTTATTCCAGGGCTTCCAGGGACTTTCTGCTATATTTAAAACCTGATATGGTTTTAAAAACAATAACTACACCAAATTATGTAACAGGAGGGCAAGAGGACTTCCCCATTCAAATTGAACAGAAGCCAGTAATTCAGAGACAAAACCACTCGCATTTCTAGAAAAACAACTTTCAACGATCAAGGGTTTAATTTCTCAGCAGACGGATTCAAAAAAAGGGTAAGATGAAAGAAGCGATGTGTGGCTATCGGACAGCTTGATTTCGAGGACTAGTTATAGTCACTATAACCCCACGGAAATGTAATCAACCCAGAGAACGGACAAGAGTTCAACACGCTTTCAAACGTCTGGAGCTCAAGGCTATAGAGACTGCTGAAGTCACACAGACATTAATCAGGTTTGTCTCCTGAAATGAAAATGGAGAGAAATAAAAGAGGATTACTGTTCAAGGCTGTAGCGAATAGAGTATTTCAATTCCACAAACTAAAGCCTTTGAATCCTGCAGTAATAACTGTCTGCCGTCAGTCAGGGGAAACAGTGTCATTGCTGCACACTAATGTTTTTGTTTGTCAATATAGGTGAGAGATATGCATGTGTGTGACTGAGCTGACTATAGTATATGTTTACTGAGAGGATGGCAATGAGGAGAAAAGTCAGCTAAAAGATCACAGGGCCGTATTAAATCACAATAAAAAAAATTTGAAAAAGTGGAATCAATTTTCTGAAATTAGACTAAAAGTTTAAGAAGTTCTGTTATCATATCAGCAATAGTCATTAAGTCATGGGATAATTATTACTGTAACCATCTCAGATGCTGATAAGTGTCCTACAATACAGAGAAGGAAGACGCCACAGCTAGGATGGATATAGCAAATGAAGTTCATCTCAAATGTCTACATCAGTTTCCAACAGCGATCAAATTTCACGAGATCATCATCACAGATCAAACCCTCTTAATATCATAAAAATATCCCTCTAAATATTGCAAACAAAGAGCCAGATTATCTGGTCTAATAAAAGGAGAGTACATAAAAACAAACTGGATCGCAGCTGAAAGATGCACAACAGAGGGGGGAAAAAAACACTTACTTTCCAATGTTGTCTGGAAGTGCTTGTAAAGAAATGTCATTGATGGAAAGGCATGTTAAACTCTGTAATTCCGGAAAACTTTCAGGCAATCTGAAACAAAACGAAAACAAACGTACAAGTCACAATTCACACAGGGAATGTCAGAAGAGAATAAAGTGCATCTGCTCAGCTGTACAGGTGAAAGAACATACTCACGCCAGCAAGACATGATCACCACTATTGAACAAAACGAAACAAATAATTGCTTACAAGAACGTTCTGCCAGTAAACTAAACCTTAACCATATGGATGCTTGTTACAACATAACCAGAGAATACAGAAGCAGTCAAGCATTGTAACATCCATCAAAATGGGGGAACAAATTGGCAAAGTGGATCCAGTGCTAATGCATAACGCATGACCTGTCAAGCACAGCACAGCACAGCTCTTAGGATATCGTCAATAAACCGCAAAGATGCCGTCAACGCATTTGTGGTGTATTAGACATGCAATTAAGACTCGTTTAAAGAACCACCCAATCTCAATGCACACACCACAAGAAGCACAAAGAAAAATGCCTGTGGATCTGTATTACCATCCTGATGAAGTGTTGGAGGAGCTACTCTACAACTGCAGTCTAAAACAGATAAAGTACTCACAAGCTTTTCTTTAAAACAAACCAAAAAAATAATAATTGTAGTAAACTTCACTACAAGCTACTAACAAAAATGTAGCTAACCACAGATGCAATGTCTTATTGATTAAATTAGAATTATACTAGAAACTGGGGTCACACTTTATGTTAAGGTCCAATTCTCGCTACTAACAAACCAGAAACTAGGACTTTTCCCTCAATAAACTCCTAATGCGGTGCTTATTAATAGTTAGTGCGGTAGTTGTTAAGTTTAGGTATTAGATAGGATTAGGGATGTAGAATATGGTCAGGGGCGGATTTAGTGATTTGGGGGCCCCAGGCAAAATACAGGAATGGGGCCCTATACAATTTTACACATCTACAACCTTGAAGTTTCTTTCACTGTTGCTCGCTGCTGCACGACCGTGTCGCATAGATGTGTCTAATCTTTTAGATTTTTCATGTACATGTTATAAATAAAGGATTTCTTTAATGTTGTAAATCCCTTGTTCACATTTAAACATGTTATAATAGTATTGGAGTAGGTTGGACACTAGGTGGTGCGTTGGGGTAATTTTCACTATGCAATTGTCTACACAACGTAAGGCTGTCTAATTCTAAACTTTAAAATATACATTTATTTTTATTTATTTTAATTGCACATTTAAATTAAACTGAAGGAAATTATAAATGTACATGCTTAAGGATTATTTCAACCAAACATGAAGCGTGCCTGTGTGGAAAGTGACTGTGCATGGTCCTTCTTGGGTCTTTCACAAAAACGAGTGAGCGCCATTTAAAAAAATTTAAATAGGCCCTATATAATATGCACT